CCTTTATTAACGTGTCTGGGGTATTTAGCATTGCTGCTAATTGGGAACACACACAAAAAAAGAAATTATGAATGTAAAAATGAATAAGTATATATTAAAAAGTTAATAAGTAAATATTAAAATATTAATAAGTAAATATGAAAGTCAGGTCAGGATAAACATAAGGGACAGTTTTCACAATTACCCCCAAGGAAAGATGCTATGTCTCTTCTTCTTATAGTTGATATGAAGGAATGTAAGGTATCACTGTTCTTTTCATCTCTTGAAAGTCTTGACCAGTCTTGAAAGTCTATTTACTACGCCTTGTCTTGTAACAACAGCAAAAAAGTTTCATCGGAAATCTATGGCGGATTCTTTTACTAGGGAATCACCTTAACTTCCAATATCAAAGAAACGAAATAAAGTTTACCTGGATCGAAAAGCTCATGGGAACGAGTCTCTGGCCAATCATACACAAAGGAGATCAGACACACAATCCAGTGAGCCAATCAAAACTCGAACAACGTGTGCGAATCGCGGGAAAACATATGCAAGCGACTCGTGATTGGTCCTGGGTTTTGCTTTGATTGGTCGAGAAATTGGCTCAAGTTTTTACGTCAATCATCGTCACTTACAGTGCTACGAGAGTCTAAATGGATATTAACTGTGATAGCTGAAAATTGTGACTGACAGCTGTCGTAAAAAGTTTAACAATACCTGAGATGTGGGGCCCATTTCTCGAAGGTCCAGAAAAGTTTTCGCACCTGGGAAGCCGTAGCAAAATCTCAAACTTCATGATTACAGAGCTGTTTAAAGTCACATATTCTTAACATCAACAGAGGTTCTCTTCATGTACAAGGAGTTTCCTGCGTATTCGGTTTTTAGATACAGATTATCTAAAGCTGGCTTTGCGGAAAAAGTTTCTGGGGCTTTCGAGAAACGGGCCCCTGGGCTGAGCTTTCAACTGAAAGCTGAAAAATCGTCGAGATGTTAATTGGTAACTGAGATTCCAGCTCGTTGACTGCGCTATGGTGGATGGTGAAAAAATAAAGAGCGTGACTGAACTTTGCTTCCCTTATTGCCTTCTTTCCTTCCTTCCATCCTTCCTTCCTTCCTTCCTTTCCTAGGAGACACGGTGGCCTCATAATGGTTTGTGATTCTGCTCGGCAACTTTCGAGCAACTTTTATGATTCTGAGCAACTTTTCGGAGAGTGAGCAACACCATTTTTTCTAAAGGCTAGCATATTTTTGGCATATTTTCACTATTTCGAAATCAAATTCATAAGCTGAATTGATATTTTAACTCGTTTCCTAGGAAATTCACAAGAATTTCACTAGAAACTCTCTTGCGTTTTGATCGGTATCTTGCGTTGATAGATTCCAAATATG